ATATACATATACATACACATATGCATATGCATGTACATACATATACATACATACATACATATATATATATATATAGATATATATATATATATATATATATATACAATATATATACATACATACGTGCATACATACATGCATATTTGTGTGCAGGATGTGTGTGCGAGGTCGTGGAAGTGTAAATTCCTGTTTGTATGTACTTGGTACTCTATTGGTCTGACAACGTCTGATATTTCCTTATCATGTGTGCTTATGTCGATCTCTGACATCAAAAATGTATATGAATGCTTATATATTCGCTTAGAAGTAGGATGGAATTGGAAAGATATGCAAATATATTTATAATAATGTATGTATATATGTGTATATATTGGTTGGAATTGGATATGTGTGCAAATATATTTGGAACTATGGATATATATATGCGTATATGTTGGGTAGAATCGGATATGTACGCAAATTAATTTAGAACTATGGAAGTATATATGCGTATATATATATATATATATATATATTGGTTGGAATTGGAAAAATATTGTGAGTATTTATGTGTGATACCGAGTGCCTGGTCCTATACAAATATGACCGTGATATTAGTACTATTTCAATGAATGCGCGGTCAAAGTGTGCTGAGTTGCTAGTATTGTTTCGATTGTTATCGTCCCGCAAATACTGCTATATACTCGGAAACTTGCTACAGATAAGTGTATTGTTTCGCAAAATAGCTGATATTGCAAATAGATCAGTGTCGCAATTTCATACCAGTGGATGACCGGGCAGACTTCATGAACGGCAACGAGATCAGAGCCGAGTAGGCACGGGCCGAAGCGGTTTTCTGGCCTGGGCCCTTCGGTGCCTATTTTGCGACGAAATTGCGACATTTTATAATCCAGAATATATCAATAGGGGGTTTAGAGTTTTAAGAGGTTTTGGGAGTTGCGCAAATTAATTATCGGAATCTGTATTAACCCCCTCTTCACACTAATTGTCGATTAGTGTGTGTGGGTGGACTTCCCGCCATATGATCTGGTACATCACTTTTAAGAGTTCACCAACCATACGCTGCTTTTAGGGAGTTACACCTTGAAACATACGCTGGTACTTGGAATCTATATATACGTTCGTAAACTATTTATACGCTTAAAATCTAAATATAGGTTCATGTCGCCTTCAAGTGTTGGCCGATCACATTGCGATCGATATACAACACATACGCGCAAATCATTTGATGCTCGCTATTTTCAATTATTTCCATCCTCTGGTGATGAAAATCTATTCCTAGATCCGAGATCCATATATATATATATATTCGGAATCTATAAATAGCACACCTTGATCAGAGGGTCCAGATCAATCTCCAGCCAGTCTCTATACAGCATATTCGGATCCGTCAACGCCAAAAGTTCGGTCGTCATTTGGGCGCGCACAGGGTGGTGCAGAAGCTTTCGGATCTGCTCAATATCTGTTGTCATGAAAAATGAAGTGCACTCCTTAGTAGACAAAAAAGCTTTTAGTTCGATCTGCTCAATATCTGCTGCCAACATACACAAAATCACACACACACAGATACACATCACATACACTGTACGCAACACGCACACATTCATATGCAACAACACGAGACTGATTACACACACTTACACGCTTGCTCTTCGTAGGTGTCTGTTGAGTCAGCGGTGTTCATGCTGGTGTTGAAGGCATACGCCAGTGCGTGAGGATAGTCTGTGGCAATCCGCACCAGCACAGCTGAGGTAACGAGAGGAAGTCCGAATGGCATGGCATGAATTCAGACGTTGGCGTAGACGAAGAATGCAATATATATATCTAGTTATATATA